TTTGCGGTTGGGCACTGCAAGGATACTTAGTGGTGAGCACTGCAGGGACATTTTGCGGTTGGGCAGTGTAAGGATTCTCTGCGGTTGGGCACTGCAGGGATACTTGGTGGTTGGGCACTGCAGGCATACTTGGTGGTTGGGCACTGCAGGGATACTCATTGGTTGGGCACTGCAGGGATACTTGGTGGTTGGGCACTGCAGGGATACTTGGTGGTTGGTCACTAACGTCAGCTACCAGTCGGGCGAAGACAATATCTACTTTAAAATGTAACAACCCCATTCCTCGCAGTGGGGAATAAAAAAGCAAGCATTTGACATGTTCCAAGACCAGCAAATGTTGTAATGTACTGCGTTTGAGCGCTCCAATACTAGCAGATACTGCAATTTGCAGCGTTGGAGACGTTGCAAGACCAGCAAATGGTGTATTTGAGTTCCTGCTGCAGCGTCAAAGGATGCACCAAAGGTGCGGCCCCTCTCACTTGTGATTTGAGTCAGCGCTAATGTGAGCTGAGGCAATTGTCCAGGTTGACAGTGAGCTGCGAGAAGAGCACAGCAAGGCCGCGGCAACAACTATGGTGTCTGTCAACTGTCTTGCATGTCCAGCTCGCAGGATCCCAACACCCGCCGCAGAGTGTTCAAGGCTCTGTCAGATGCCTTCGCTCAGGAACTTAGACGACGTTATTATAATCGGTATATGTATAGTGAATACTTGGGTTTCCTTATTATGATGACAATCTGAGTTCCTAAACAAAGACCCCGAGTTTCTGAGAGCTTGGCACTTTGCCCAAGCTTGGCAGAAGTTGGTCTGAGCCCTCAACCCGAAAGCTGGCAATTTGCCCGAACCTGGCAGAAGCTGATCCTCAAGTGGCACCCAGACAAGTGCCAAGACGCTTGCGCGCCGGAGGCGAGCTTGCGCAGTTGCAAGGAATTTTTGTTGAGCTCGTGTGTGACAGGGTCACTGTTGAGGAACTTCAGTTTAGGCGATTTAGGGTTTAGGATTAAAAAAACTTAGTTCAAGCTACCATAGTAAGGAAACCCTATGATTTACTATACATGTATACCCCATATAGTAACTGAGTTTAAGTTCCTTCACAGAGACCTAGGTAATGCAAGATTTGGTCAGTGCACACGTTTTGTAGGGCACATGACGAGTCAACCTGCTTGATGGAAACGCCAGGTTTTTCGTCATCTGATGTCTCGCTGCGAAAGCTATCTGAAGGTGCGGCTGTAGAGGGGCAACGCTTTGCAGACATGCGCTGCGCGTCCTGACTTGTCGATACTCAAACTTCATAGGGTCCCACCCCACATAACAAACCCTCATCATGCAGGATATATCCTATACGAGCCCTAAGTAAGCCCTAAATAAGCCCAATATGAGCCCTGTATGAGCCCTAAATTTACTAGCCCTCTAATATGGCCTTCACAGTCCCTATATACCTCTTATTCTGGGGTTGTGATGTGGGGGGCCCCTCTGGAACTCTATCAAGACTGCGAAGAGACACACGCAGAAATAATGCATATATGAGGTTGTAGTGCACGATGCCCACGATTTGCACCATGCACCCCACCAGCTCCATCGAAATGTAGCCAGCAGTCGCAGCAGCAAGACTCATGTCCTGAGCCGTGTACCTTAGTGGGAGAAGAAGAACTTCTGGTGGCGTGAGCTTGCCACCTGAGCCGGCAAAGCGCTGAGCTCACCTCAGTGTAGGAATCGCGTTCCCCATGTCTCTGCTCCCAGAGAGGAGCCGCACTCCAAAAGCTAAGTTCTCCAGCCTAACCTCACTAACTTGCCTGGAAAGGCTCAGCAACGGCCATCCTAGACGATACTGCCACTGGTTCCTAGGTACAGGAGCCTTAGCACAGTCATAGAAGACATGCCTGAAGAAGGCCTGTCTCAAACTGCAGCGCGGACAAACATGATGATCCTCATTTGTGTTATCACACTGGGCCAGCCATGCCGGGCTGACGACAGTCCCCAACATAACTGTACGATTGGACGCACATTTGTCCAAGTTTCGTCTTAGGGATTTGAAATCCACGTCCTTAGCTTGCCTAAGCAGCTCCTCCTCCGAGTGCCTAGCCAACATTTCCACAGCTTCGTGTCTCCCCGAGCGCAAGAAGGACCTGATTTGAAACATTTGCCATCCTTGCCGAAGGGCATGCTGTCTCGCCCCGATCTCTTGTCTGCTAGCAGGAGAAAGATCTACGACGCAAGCTTCATCCAAACAAGAGGCCCAAACCCATGGACGAGTGACGCCAAGCGCGCCGACTCATCCACTTTCTAAGAGCATGGACAGACGAACCTGGCCCTGCAGTCCAAGAACGATCACCTGAAGGAACAGCTCCTGCGCGTTCAAAGCCAAGGAGCTTGCCAACTTTCCTTAGACTAGCCGCCGGGACACAGTCAAGGTGCATGACTGCCCCGTAAGCAGCCTGTCGCAGATGTTTGTTAGCCATTCTACAAGAGGCCGATGCCACAGTGGCTGCAGCAAAGAGGGAATCTGAGTCCTTCATGGTCGGTAGCTTACCGTGCCACCCATAAGCGGCGACAGACAGGCAAAGGCTTCTAGATTCCTTAACAAACTTATCCCATGGGAGCCAAGCCGATCCAAGGAGGACCTGGCAAGCTTTGGCTTTCTGAAGCCTACGTTTTTCCAGGGCCGTGTTTTCCCTCGGCCCTGAAACGGTAGATGTCCCAAGCACGTCCACTTCCGCCTTCTGCCACTCAACCCATGGTCTTTGCAGAAATGGTCCTGACAGTTTGTGTGCCACTTGTTGAGCCAGACACAGTTCCATCTCGGAACGTGCAACATCCTGGTAAAGCCAATGCCTGTGTATTGCGCTCTGAAGCCTATGAGCCTTTTTCGCTTGCAAGGAACATTCCTTTTGAAAAGGAGTTTTGCAAGTTGTCAGCTGAGAAACCGAACGGGAGCTCCTTGAGCAGTGGGCTTCAACGCCCTTTGCAGACCTGACGAACTAAATAAGTAACCTTTCACCTTTTGGGCTCTATATAATCCTATTTGCATTGAAAGGTTAACCTTTTCCGGGCCAAGGAACTCAGCAACTAGGTTCAAAAGGCTGCAAAAAGCAGCTTCAACCCATAGGCTTCGATTCAGATGCCCGGCGCAGGAAACAGAGCTCTTTGAGCACATCCTGATTGGGCTTTCCCTGGTGCTGTTTCAGCTCCTGTCTCCAAGAGGCGGCTCCATCCAGGTTTGTTCTTTCCGTATACGCTTCCAAGAAGTGTTTCGACAGTCACCGAAGGCAGCTCAACACTTCCCATCCTGAATCGCAGATGCCAAGGGGTCGTTTTCAAACTTGGGACGTAAAAAGGCTTGCCGAGGTTATGCATGGAAGCCGGAGGCGTAATGAGTTGGGGTTTCTGGATGAAAGCTGGTTGTCTTGATTCTGAGAAAGAGCAGCCTAGGATATTGGTTGTACTTGGGCCCACGCTTTCTAGAACCGCATGAAACGAGAAAAGCTGCGCAAGAGCCTTGTTTTGCAAAGGTGCGAGGGGTCAACCTCTTAGTGCCCGTACAGTGCTGGAGTGTCTTGCCCTAAGCCTTGCGGCCCAAGACCGTCAATCACCTTCTGGCATGTGCCAATTTTTTTTTACATTATAGTCGAGTCCAGAATGGAAACCTACGATAGAGCCGCAAAGTATGGACTGCCAATTCCTGCACACACGTGTAGGACTCTGGTGTTGTTTCGCAGTCCTGGGAATGATTGAAGCATTGGTTTCTGGCTTGAAGGGACTTAAGACGAATACTCTTTCTGATATTTCATCAAATCAGTATGATACCAGTGCCTAAGTTTCACTTCCTGTCATGCCAGGGGTGTCCACAATAAAGTCTATCACTGCTGGCCTCGGGGCACAGAACTTAAGGGAAGCCGCCAATGTGTGCTGGACCCTAATGTAGAAGCCTAGTCTAGATGGTTGTTATGAATATTATGGTTCCATATTCCTTGTGTAGCTATAGTATAGGGTGCCTCAAATGGACCTCAAAATGATCTTGGTAATTGTTCAGGCCCTAGTATTAAGCCTTAAATCCTAGCCCAAATCCCAGAGATGGCTTTCTGGCTGGCAGTGGGCCCAGCATGGGTTTGGCAACCTTAAGCCCTTGAAAACACCAGATGCTCCCTTTCTGAGAAGTGCGCACAGAGATCTTAGTTCTTGCACTTTATTTTGGCCATGGGAAGGAACGCCGCATCCCATTGTCTTCAGCTTTCTCCCAGTCTGGCTTGGGCTGCTCTCATTCAAGGTTGCAGGTGTTAGTACCCATCCCAAAGCCCCTCGACTTCAATTTGGAAGTGCAGTAAAGCAGCAGTGTCTACGTCATGCCGCAGACAAGCGCCGCAACGGTATCTGCAAAAGAGTCATGAGATTGACCGCAGATTTCCACTTGCAAATCTTGAAGCTGAATACAGCTTGTGTTAACAACGAGACTTCTGGATTCTGGTCCAGACCAGTTTACGAAGCCAGTCCCTGATTCATGTGACTACCACTGCTGGATTGTCGCGCCATGGATTTGGCAGCCCATCACCTTACGAGGAGGCCAGAGAACATCCTTGCATCCATGGCTGGTAGTTGTTTTCCCGTTCTCTTGGGCTTTTGGCCTGTTTTGTTGTATTTCTTGCTTCCCATACAGCCTGGGCCGCGCTAGAAGTTTACGGGTTGTTGTCCTACGCCCTCAAACGCCAAACCCTGAAATGCGCTCTGGATTTTCGTCCCTCAACGCTAAACTCTCAACTCTTGGCTCTGGCTCTTTCAAAGTGTAGCATGTAAGAAAGACGACGCTCATCTTTAAAACATATGCCTTGTCTAGGGCTCACGCCGCGCCGCACGCACCCCTTCCGTGTCTTGCGAGGCACTTCCAGATCCTGGAGCTCGTGCCGTGCCCAGTTGTGCCTTGAGGGTGCAAAGGGAGCCAAGATATATCGCAAGATATGAGGCGGAGACAGTCATTTACAGCATTTGAAAGACTCCAGGACCAGCAGACGCTGTAATTTACAGCGCTTGAAGCGCTCCACGTCCAAAACACGTTATAACTTACAGCATTTGAAGCTCCAAAACCAGCAAATGCTGTGATTTACTGCAGCTCAGATGTTCCAAGACCAGCAAAGGCTGTAATCTACAGCATTTGAGCTGCTCGAAGACAAACAACTATTGTACTTTACAGAATTTGACGCGCTCCAAGACCAGCAAGTGCTGTAATTAATTTACAGCATTTCAAGCATTTGAAGGCGAAAAAGGAGCGAGCCACGCCTTTGCCAACGCAAAAAGCCCGAGCCACGCCTTTGCAAAAAACAAACCCTCCGCCGCTGGATATGGGTTGGCAGACGGTGCCTTCTGCACTTAAGGGTACGTGGCGGAGCAGTGTTCATTCAGCACTCATCTAGATACTAACTAACATTCGTTGACGCGCGTTTACACACAAGTGTCACGGCTTCATCAATGTTTTGCAAGCATGCCATAGGCCAGTGGTGACTGAACGGCATTGATGCCATCATTTCTGGTTAGGATTCACTCCGCTGTGCCTTCAAGCAATTCCTGAAGAGCCGCAACTCTCTCGTGTCCCACTGACTGACGTGCATTTCGCTTTCAAACAGCAATGAAATTTTAGCTGTTTTCAGTTTTTTCGCAAAGAGCCTTCGGCATGCTGCGTGGAAACAGCGTATGGGAGCTTAGCCAGGTCAGCGAAGCCTTAGATCGCAAGCCAATGCTGGACTACGCTGGCTGTGCACCTTGCGTAGATCAAGTAGAGGTTTTTTTGACCTTGCGCAAGATTTTCATAAGTTGAAGTTCGGTGTTGAAGTCATGGTAATTCTGCGGGGGAAACGACCGCTGCCAGAAGAGATAGATTAGGACAAGTATGTTCGATCATGTCAAGGCGAAGGAGTGCATGAGATCTCGACATGAATGCGTGTCTAAGCAGGTGGCAGAAGGTTTCCGAAATTGCTACTTGTAAATCCTCCAGAGATCTCAGTGCAGGATGGGTTTTGGTCATATTTCGGTCAGTTTAACAGACAAACATTGTCCAGACTTGGCTCTTACTTGGCTCTGAAAAGCAGGAAACCTCGACCCCTCTCATGTCTTTAGGAAAATTAACTGAGACCTCGCCAGGATTGTGGTCACGAAATCTCCAACCCCTCTCTCCCATTCTACTTCTGATATGGTATTTGAAAAGAGCCAGGGCTGCATGGGATGCCCAGTTCCTTCAAATCTGAAACCATCGGGCTGGGGACTGGGAGGTTGGGGGGTGGAAGGGGAGTTGGAGAAGGGGTTTGCACTCAAAGCAGCCTAGCATCCTGACTCAGGTCCTGAATAACTGGGAGCGAATTGACAGCGAGGGTCCTATCAAGCCATCTAATGCGTCTCGGAATGCAGCTTCAGAGTCTGGGGCTTCTTGACAGAAGCTAGCGCTTTTATCAGACCCCTCATTTGTTTTCACAGTGCAGCAGTGGAGTGTCATAATTCGACTGAGAATTGCCGGACTATGTTTTCAAGTCGCACGGCTTAGACCAGGGAGCCGCAGTTGCCGCACGTTTTGAGCGATAGTCTTGACCCAAGCAGTGTCAGAACAGTCTTGAATTTCGAAGCCAGAACCTTCGAATAACAGAAATGAGCATTGCCGTGAGCATGGACCAGTGTTGCGCGCGTTGTAGCTTTCTGACATTTGACTGGAACATTTTCACATCTTTTGTCTCCCTCGCGCTTGTGCTTTTTCTTTGTTCTCTCCTTTCGTCTCCCTGCCTTTTGCTGCTTCTCAAGATTCCGTCTCCTCTAACTCTATCTTCTCAGTTTGTATCCCTCGCTTACCATTGCGTGGTTCACACGGAATCAAGCAGCCTGAGCTCAGGTGCGCCTGCTTCGCCGCTTCACAGGTTTGATCGATGAGGTGGGCTTCCACGTCTTAATTTGCGGAGCCGATGAGTATAAGCGAAAAAGTTTCTTTCGGGTCTTTGGTGCAACCACCATGAAGCACTGTAGCTGGAGATCCACGGAAGGTGAGTTTTTCTTAGTCGATAGCAGGCAATCCCCGACGGTCAGGAATGGTTCTTCAAGACCCACATCATCATTGAGTCTGAAGGTGGCCACGTCGTTAGCAGCCTTCATGCGATCTGTGCTGCCATGCGAAACTTGGAACGAATATGGTTGCGTTATTGCCTGATGCGCTCAACCTAAGCCAGGCATGCAGGTGGATGATGCAAAGCCGAACCCATGACTTTTCCACAGCCAAATGACAGGAAGGAGTAGCTGCCGCATGCCGAAGAAAGTGCAGTATGACCCAGGCAGCAGCGATCTTCGGAATTTGCTGCAAGAATTGCACTCTCTGGAGGAAGCACTTTGGAGGCCGAGCTTGAACACAAGTCTCGGTGACACGAGTTTGCATGTTGTTGGCGTGTTTATCATGGCGTCCCATTTTGTTGATTCAGGACTCCTGACACTTGTGTTGCTATAGGATGCCGCAGCGGAGGTTCGCAATTAAGGATCATGTTTCTGCTTAGACTTTGGGCTTGTCACTGCCCCTGTCAGCGCAGCACGTCAGTGAGAGCCTTTGCCTTAGGCCATGTTTTGCCCCGTTGTTCCCGTATCCTATAGCAAACTGACGTACATCTTGACTCAAGTCAGCCAATCTTTGCTTTGACATCTCGGGGCTGGATTTAGAGCTGTCAATTCGTTTGGATTCTGCTCGGCACATGTATGAGGATGAACCCACAACGCAGACGGTCCTTGCTCCTGTCCAGAGTCCTATCCGGCCAGCACGGCCCTCCAACTGTTGCAGGTTAGCATCGGTGTGCCTGCCGATCATGTTTGCCCGATCTCCGGCTGACCACAACCTCCTATGTGGCTGATCCCAGCTCTAAGGAATGGGTTGCAGGGTAAAGGCAATGCTGAGAGTGGCGTTTTTTGTGAAGCGCATTTCCTGGTGCCTTAGGTGACCCCTTCATGTTCTTTGCCCGGCTGCGACCATTCATTGGATCGGCCGCTTGTCCGTGCCGGGGTCAGCCTCGGCTCAGGCGCTTTTTTGGGATAGCCAGGCATCAGCACAACCTTGAAAGAGACTAGTCCCCTCGCTTGACAAAGATAAGGGATGACGCAGTTTGTTTTAGCATCGACAGTTCACAAAGCTTGGAGGCATGAGGGTGGGACGTCAGAGCACCGCCAATCTTGCTTTGTGACTGCGTTTTTTTTTTGGGGCGCGGATGGGATCATTCTCACCTCAGCCCTGAAGCTGCTGCCAGATGGCCATGGCGTTGATGCTTTACTTGGTTCCGCAAAGGTC